AATTAACTGTTAATTATTAATTTTTAGTAAAATATTAGTAAAAATTTTACAATTTGAATTAGCAATTAGTACAAAAATAACTAATTATTAGTTAAAATTAACTAATTTTCTACTGAAATTAAGTAATTATTATTAAAAAAAACTCATTGTTAGGAAAAAATAACTCATTATTAGTAGAAAGTAACTAATTATTAGTAAAAAATAACTAATTATTAGTAGAAGGTAACTAAATATTAGTAGAAAATATAAAAAATAAAATATAATATAAAAGATAATATAAAATATAATATAAAATATAATATAAAAAAATTTTGTTGGAAAATTATCCGATTGTGCAATTTAATTTTCCCTCCATCAAGAAATCTACCTTTTTTTTAGCCACTCTTTTTCAACCTTTTTTTTTTATTATTTCCTTTTTATTTTTCTTATCCTCCACTACTTTCTTGCATATTCTTTTATTTTTCAACCTTGTTAGTCTTCTTTCATCGTTCATTATTTTTACCCCCCTCCCATCCATTTTTCTTCTATCTACATTTTCCTCCTCCTTTTCTCTCTTCTCTCTTTGTATCCCTATATTTTCACTTATCATTCTATCTCTATATTCTCCCTTCACGCAACCATTTTCCGTCTCTCTCACTTTTCCTCCTTTAGATTATACAATATAGTTTCTCTCTCTCTCTCTCTCTCTCTCTCTCTCTCTCTCTCTCTCTCTCTCTCTCTCTCTCTCCCTTTGTTTCGGAATTTTCTTAGCAGAGTCCTTCCCCTTCTCCCAAAAAAGGGAAACCTCATTTCGGCGAAAGGACGACGACTACGACAAGGACGATGAAGGATCCCTAGAAATACAATAGAGAGAGAGAGAGAGGGGGGGGAAGAAGAATGGAGGGAGAACTAGTGTGGCCAATCAGAATGTGGCTTTTCTTGAGTCGACCGATCAATGTGGTCCCCTCTGTACCGACATGCAAGGCATATCAACGTCACCGCCACCACCATCACCCAACCCACTTTTAAGCTTTCCGGCCAATCTTGATATTCCCTCTCTTTGTCTCGCGCATATACAATTTAGACACAGATGCAAATTTAACACCATTAGATACTATGCTTGTTTATCAGTGCCACAAGACGAGTGCTAAAATATCATCTATATAATCTTGTTCAGGGCCAAAAATCGACCCAATAAATTTGTCATAATAAAGAGAAAGCGAGAGAGAGAGAGAGAGAGAGAGAGAGAGAGAGAGAGAGAGAGAGAGATCGAGCTGACAAATGGGATCAAATTCGAAATTGCTGCTTTGACCTATTTACAACGAGATGAGCATTTTTCTTTACTCTTCTGTTTTTTTTTTTTTTTTGTTGAGAAAACAGTTGCAATTTTCCATCGTTTCTTTATTTGTAACGGGGAGAAGGAGGTAAATTTTGGTATGCTCTTTGTCAACAGGAACAATTTCGAAAAATTCACTCGAGTTTCTGCTGATTTAGACAAAAAAATTTGACGAATTTATATTTGAATTTAAAAGCAACATTTTTTTGGTTTCAAAATGAATTTCAGCTATAAATTTATTCAACTTCAATTTTGTTTATTCAATTTGGAACGAATTCTTACGTATTTTTTTTTATAATTTTACAAAACAAATTTCTTTTTACTATTACAGTGAAAACAAAAAATTATTTGGTTCAAGTAATCGGTTTTTTAATTATCAAATAAATATTTACTTGAAGAAAACAATTTTTATTTGCATTAAGTAAATTTTATTTGAACCAATAAATTTCTGTCCTTGAATTTCTGTATTTAAATAATTTTTTGTATTTAAACTAGTAATTTCTGTACTTGAATTTTTGTATTTAAATTTGTGTATTTTAGTTTCTGTATTTGAACCAATTTTCTTTATTTGAAACTATACAAATTGATACCAAATATGTCGAAATTAATCCAAATTTTTTAACAAAAATTTGATAATTTTTCTATAACAATTCGATATTTTGAAATAAACTATTTTCTAAATAAACACTGTACTTGAATCAAATAAATTTTCTCTTTGATTGTATTTATTTTCTGTATTTACTAACCGAGAAATAAGTGAAAAATCTAAAAATAGAGAATATAAAAATTTCTTCTCAATGGTACAATAAAAATCTCAGAGAGAATATATTTTTATGAAGAGTTTTCATTTTACAATATAAATGCGTGTAGCACATATATATATATATATAGTGAAAACAACAGAGTATACACGCATCATCAAAGTGAAATTTATAGCAAAATAATGGCTGTCAATGTAATCGAGTTTCATTCTCATAATGGACTTTTCAATCGATTATTGACTGAATACATGTTCCGCAATTTATCGTCCTATTCGATACGACAACCATTTTCCTTGTATTCTCATGCGTTTGCAATTTTACGATCAGTCTGACACTTTTTCCCCGCCCAAAAAAAAAAAACACTTTCCGCGACTCGTTTGCAAAAATAGACAAGACTTTATTGCAATTTTTTTCAGTATTTTGATTTTTAAATTACTGTTTAGGAATTATTACTATTTTTGTTTAGGAACTATTACAATTCGATTACTATTTCTGTTTAGGAACTATTATTATTTCAGTTTAGGAACTATTACTATACGATTGCTATTTCTATTTGGGAACTATTACTATTTCTGTTTAGGAACTATTATTATTTCAGTTTAGGAACTATTACTATACGATTGCTATTTCTATTTGGGAACTATTACTATTTATGTTTAGGAACTATTACTATTTCTTTTTAGGAACTATTACTATACGATTACTATTTCTATTTAGGAACTATTACTGTTTCAGTTTAGGAACTATTCCTATTTCTGTTTAGGAGCTATTACTATACGATAAATATTTCTGTTTAGAAACTATTACTATTTCAGTTTAGGAACTATTACTATACGATTGATATTTCTATTTGGGAACTATTACTATACGATTACTATTTCTGTTTAGGAACTATTACAATTCGATTACTATTTCTGTTTAGGAACTATTATTATTTCAGTTTAGGAACTATTACTATACGATTGCTATTTCTATTTGGGAACTATTACTATTTCTGTTTAGGAACTATTACTATTTCTGTTTAGGAACTATTACTATTTCTTTTTAGGAACTATTACTATTTCTTTTTAGGAACTATTACTATACGATTACTATTTCTATTTAGAAGCTATTACTATTTCAGTTTAGGAACTATTACTATTTCAGTTTAGGAAATATTACTATTTCTGTTTAGGAACTATTTCTATTTCTGTTTAGGAACTATTACTATATGATTACTATTTCTGTTTAGGAACTATTACTATTTCAGTTTAGGAACTATTACTATTTCTGTTTAGGAACTATTACTATTTCAGTTTAAGAACTATTACTATACGATTACTATTTCTGTTTAGAAACTATCACTATTCGATTACTATTTTCGAAAAACAAAAATGTAAATTTCCATTTTCCACTTACTTCGTACTGTTATTTAAAATAAATAATTCGATTGAAATGTAAATTTCCATTTCTGGGTCGATCGTTTATTTAAAATTCCAAAGAAAGATTCTTAAAATGCTAAAATATTTGTAACATGAATATATATATGAACCAAGAGAGAGAGAGATAAAGAAGGAAGTTATCTTGTTATGTGAATTATCCACCATTTCCGTTCGGCCATTTGTTTGGACCCTCCCAAAAATCATTTCCATTGATAAGGTGTTCACCGGGTCCTTTTTTTTTTTTCGTTAACAAAAGACTAGAAAACTTTTCAATTTTTTTTTACCACCTCGGATACCCTCCCCCAAAACTTGTCCCTCTTTTAGATAACCGGTTTCCCTTTATTTTTCTCAACGGTGACCCTTTTAAAGTTCGTATTCACCTCGATTGATATAATCAAATTCCTCACCGGAGAGGAAAAGAAATTTTGTTCTCTCATCCGGCGCCGTACATCTAACCTCACGTCTGACTTTTTTTCTGACATTCTATTCTACGTATGAAAAAAAAAAAAAAAAAAAAAAAAAATGTTATTCATCATACTTTATTTGAGAGAGACAAAATTATGTCGTGCCGGTATATCAAAATTCATACATTGTATAAAAATGTTATTTTTGTCTTCAAATTTTTTTTTTTTCTTTAAGTGAATGAGTTTTGAGACTTTTTTTATTGTTATTAACTATACTTTTAACTAATTAATTATTATTATTACATTTATTAAATTTAATAATTTTTTAAACCTTTGAATTTAAAAAATAATTTAGTTAAAAATGTTCGAGAAAAAAAACTCACTTTAAAATATTATAATACTTAAATTTTATATTAAAATCGAATTGACCGTTTCGCAACTATTTTCAGACAAATATCTAAAAGACCTTTTGCAAATCGTGTTATTTCTGACATATATATTCAAATGACATTTTCAATTATGTCACACATATATATATATATATATAATTTCGATATTTTATTATCTTGTCTATATATTTTTAACTCGTATAAATGAATATTCAGTGTTATCATTTTCAATATAATATTAAAAGTGAAAATAATTACTAAAAGCAATTTAGGTATATAATAATAAAAAATAAATAAATAAAATATTCCCCCCCCCCCTCTCATACAATATTTGATTCCTTATGATTTTATGGACTTGGTCTCTAAAAGTTTTGTTCACTTTTTTCCATCTTCATAGCATCGTAACATATATGAAAGGCGAATCGATACCTTTTCGATATGATTAGAGTGACTTTTTCCATGAGAGGAAAAATGATGCCTTGAAAAATTCATTTTGGCAAGAAAAAAAAAAAAAAAACACACACACAAACCGCGAATCAAATAAACTCAAGATATATAATCCCGTATAAGTCTGTGCCGATTTGGCCCACGAACGGATCATCATAAAAAAAAACATCGAACGAAAAAAATAAATATAATAAATCTATTCGAATATTATTATTATTTGTAATACAAAAAAAGTATTTGAAAAAATCAAGGTAAAAACTTACCCAATGGATGCTGGGCGATGTAATCTGAAAAAAAAAATTATAATCAATAAATATTCGGATTTTGAAATAATTATTAAAAAATGGCAATTATTATTTTCAAACAGAAAAAAAACGTTATTTTACGTGTGTGTGACGGAATTTGAAATAATCCTCATATAAGTGTCGTTTATAAAGACTGGGTAAATAATATCACGACAATATTTTTTGTAATAAAGTGTAAGAAAAAATTGATCTTCCCATAAATTGTGTCTTCTCATGAACTTGATTCTAAATTAAGATCAAGATCTTTAAGAAGAGATAAGTGACTAGCCATATTCTTGTTTTTATCAAAAAAAAAAAAAAAATTATTATTTATTTCACCCTCGACAAAAGACGATCAATTTCAATTTAATGAGTCAATATTTGTATTTTCAATATTTTTTTTATTTATAGTGGCAATTATTTTTTGAGTTATAAATTAACAAAAACATGAAAATGTAATAAGCGTTTGGCACAATTTAACATAATATATCAAACGCTAATTAGTTAATTCGTATGGATTTTCTTTTATTTAATTAATGAGAGCGCGCACAGCCATTATATATAGTGAAATATTCAATTTTATTTTATATATATATATATATTTTATATTTTTATTTATTTAAATATATGTAAATTTTCGAAATAATGTTTTTATAATGTATATTCGACCATCGCAGCATTTGAATGAAGTTTATAATTATAATAAAATTATTTTTTATTTATATCGAATAGAAAATTAAAAATCTCAATTTGCAAATTTTGGAAATTAAATCAGAAATGGTAAATTGTAAAATGATAAGAAATAATGAAGATTTTTTTTTCGAGAGCGAAAATTATATTGGAGTCAGATATACTTAACTATGGAGTATAGTATCATGGCCGTCGGATTAAGTTCGCGAATAGAAAACGTTTAGTTAAAATTACTTTCAAAGTAAAAACATTTTTAAGTCGTGGAAAAATATGGTAAAAAGGCAAATTTTCATATAAGAAATTCTAATTTTTAATAAACTTTTATAAAAATTTAAATATTTCCATTTTTTTTTTTTTAGAAACACAGAAGGAATATTTCAAATTTCTTTTTTTAGAAACACAGAAAGAATATTTCATATTTCCTTTTTATATAAAAAAAAACCATTTTTGTAATTCCTTTTTTTTTAAAAAAAAAAAAGAGAAAAAAACATTTTCGTAATTCCTGTTTTTTTTTTTTTTATTTAAAGAAAAAGAGGGAAAAAATCCTATTCCCTTATTTTTTTAAGAATAAGAAAGAGAGAAAAGGCGAACAAATATAAATTTCCCTCTAAGAAAGTTAAGAAATAAATTTTATCTCGAAGATTTTGAATATAAATTTTCCTCAAAAGATCCTAAAGTTGGAATATTATTTCCCGCCCCCTGCACCCCCCTGCTCTCCTCTTCTCATTCTTATTCGCGAAAATAGCCGTAAATTAAGAAAATTTGTCGAAATTCAGCGCATGGCATTTCATCGAGGCCAGATGTACTTGAAAATCTTAAGCTTGGAGAATAATAACAGTTCTCATAGTTTTGAGAGAGTCTCAGGGAGCTATTGTTACGAAACTCTCCCAAGTAATATGCAGTTTCCGCCTTCTGCGCTTTCTCTCTCTCTCTCTCTCTCTCTCTCTTATTCTTTGCCAATTTCTCTTTTGTAGAGGCAAAGATTTTAAGCTTGGTGCAAGTGGTGTGGGTGTGGAAGTAAGAAGCAAAGGGGTGGGGTTTGGAAAAGGACCTAGCCTGGATGCCAGGGATGTCCTGTTTCCAAGAGTCCCGAAGGAACGAGAGAGAAATTGAGAAAACAAGAGAGAAAGAGAGAGAAGGAGAGAGAGAGAGAGAGAGAGAGAGCAAAGAGTATGGAGAGTACAAGAGTTTCGACCCCTAAACACTGGAAACCCATTCTCTACCAATATCCATACAACAAAAGCATATATAGTTTCTACCATCATGAGAGACCGAAGCTATTCCCATAAATGCTTCAGGTGTTCAGAGTACATACATAGTGTCTAATATTATTAATATCTTCTACTTTTCAACATATTTCAAAAATTCTGTTCTAAATTTCGAAAATAATGTTTTAAATTTTAAAAATACTATTTTAATATACATAAATACTTATAAAAATACTATAAAATACACTCCTAAAATAATTATTTACTAGTATTTTACTTTTTAGTATTATTAGCTTTTTAATAGAAATAATAATTTTCAATAAGTTTTTAAATTTAGCGCCATTTTTCAAGATGGCGATACCGTTGCCGCCATATGAATAACCTATAAAACTGCTCTTTACTACGCGTGCGCGTTTCTAATCGTCACTGCGCTTGCGCCAGTATAACTCTCTTATTCTGAAAAAAGCGCGCTTATTTGAAATGCTTTATAAATTCAATAGTGAAAATTTTTGTTATATTTCTTTCTTAATATTTTTTTATAAAGCATTTCCAAATAAGCGCACTTTTTTCAGAATATAAGAGAGTTATACTGGCGCAAGCGCAGTTGCGAATAGAAACGCGCACGCGTAGTAAAGAGCAGTTTTATAGGTTATTCATATGGCGGCAACGTTATCGCCATTTTGAAAAATGGCGCTAAATTTGAAAACTTATTGAAAATTATTATTTCTATCAAAAATTAACAATATTAAAAAATAATAATTGTATGAGTATGTTGTTAAATTTTGTTTTTTTTTCTTCTAAAAATTAATTTTTCTTTTTAAAACTTTATTTGTTCTTTAGTTTTGTAATAACGAAATTAATGTAGGACATGCAAATTTTTGAATTAGAGCCCCTGGGATATATGTATATATATGAAAGATGTGAAGCTACACAAGCTTCGTTAGAAAGCACCATGCTGTGTTTCAAACTTTACCGTATATATACCAACTTCTCTCGCTCACTATTTTGCTTGTAAACTCTGAAGCTTGAAGGTCGTTAACCGATGGTCTATACGTTAATCAGCTCGACTTGCTATGCAAATAAGGCTAAAATTCGACTTTGAAAATGAAACATTTCGAACACTAGGTGTGTATGAAAAAGAGATTGATCCCTATGGGGAAAAAAAAAGTTTCCACTCCTATATATGTATATATATATTTAAAAGTAAATCCAGTTTTAATGAAACACTTTTTTTCCGGGGCAAAATTACTTGTTTATATAAATCCAAGTAAATTGAAAAGAAAATTACAAAATAAACTTTAATTTTAACTATAAACTTCTTCTTCTTCTTCTTCTTCTCCTTTGCAATTTTTATTTATTTATTTATTAATAATATACAACACAAGCCCTATTGTACAATGTACGATCTATTTCAATTATTATTAATATTATTATTTATAATTAATATTTTTTTTAATTATAATAATAAACCGTGGATTTATTCTGTTTTCCAAATTACGTAATTTTTTTTACTAATAAAATAAATAAATGAAAAAAATATAATTGAAAGACAATAGTTTTTGTCTTTTATAGTTTTTTTTTTTTTTTTTTTTTTTTTTTTTTTTTTTTTTTTTATTAACGATTATCATTTATAATTCCAGGCACGTAGTAATTACTTATTGAAAAAACATGATAGGAATTTATCAAATTCTACAAAAAAAAAAGATATTTTTGCACAAAACAATTATTATTGAATTTTGTTTCTTGATTTTTTTTTCTTGTTTTCAAAAAAACTTTTTTTTGAACACAACATATTTGTGTACGTGTTTAAGAATTAATTATTCACTTCGAGAAGAGTATATAAAATCATAAAAATTCTCATTTTATTTTTTAAAAGCATTTTTCATTTCAAGAAAATTTTTTTGCAGTTTACAAGTTAAAATGAACTTTTTCAATTTTATATTAAAATGCAAATTGCATTATTTACTTTTAATTATATTTGTTCAATTTGGTGAGTTATTTTAAATTTTATTTTTTTAATTTTTAATAAATATTTATTGATAATCTTTAGTGTAACAATTTTAAAATAATAAAATTTGAAAAAAGTATAATTTCAAATTATATTTATTTATTTTTTATTTATAATTTTTATATTTATAATTTATAAAAATTATACCTTTAATTTATTTAGAAATAATGTATTCTTATTTTTAGCAAATTGTCAGGTGTATGATCCATGTAAGTGTTTTGTCTGAATAATAAAAATGAAAATCATTAAATTAAGTACAATAAATTAATATTATATAAAAGAAAATTTTTTTTTTTATATAAATTATTATTAAATTTTGACATTAGAATCAATTTTTTGAAACTTATTTCTTATTTTTGTATTAAATCCTATAGCACAACTTATTTATGGTTCTCAAACAATACCACCACCATACTTTAATAATTATAATTATAATAATAATAATAATGGTTATTCTATATATCAAACACTTCAACAACTTCTGCTATACATTCGTAAGTAATGCAATATTACACAGATAAGAAAAATGTTAAAAAGTATTATTTATATTCAATTTATTTATTTATTATTTTAGATTATTTTTCCGATATTTACATTTTATTCTATTTTACAGAATCAACTTTGAACAATTTATCATCCTCAGTGATGTATCCGTTTAATTATTATAATTCGAGTAGATAGTTTAGTAATCAGTAAATTGTCTACAAATCAAAAGAAGAAGTGAAAATAATTTATAATAATGTAATTATTAAATATGATTATTATTTTTTATAATTATAATTATTATAAAATTATAAAATAATTATAATTTCTAAATTGTAATGAATTACAAAAATAAAAAAAAAAGATAGAAAATAAAACACAACTTGAAAAAAGATTCACATTTCTTTTCATTCTTTGACAAATTTTTCATCTCGGACAATAATTATTAATTTTTAATTTTATATATAAAAAAAACACATATCTTTAATTAATCGATTTTATCGATTATGAATAAAAAAAGGGGGAGGGGAATAAATAAACTTGTTTTTATACGGAAAAAAAGATTTATTTGCAAAATGAAACTTGGAACTTCGATATATATATATATATATATATATATATATTTATATAAATAAAAAAAAAGAGAGGCAGGTTTCTAAATGAAAAATGTACATATTTTACGAACAAAAAAGAAATGTTAATTTTATGTATAAGATTACAGACGAGATAACTCAGCGATAAACTGTATTGTTTATTAATATCATCAGCTTCATTTAATCTAACTACTACAAGTTTGTTATAAAATCGTCCTATATTTCTCGTATAAGAAATATTGTATATTCTTGAATATATATATATATATATATATATATAAGTTATATGAAATTTTTTTCTGATGTACCAGATTACTATATATATACACGAAGGGAAGTAAACTTGTTTTTAAGGCAAAATTATACATTTTTTTTCTGTCTAAAAATAAGTACTACGAAACTAAAAAAAAAAATGCAAGAGAAGTTTCATTTTGCAAATTAAAATCGTTGGGGTGTAAAATGTTTGTCCCCTTTAAAACAGTGGGAGAAACTTTAATGAGAACGTACATTTATATACAGATATACATATTATGTTAGGATATTTTTTGTATATTTATATATGCGACAAAATTAATTTAAACTTTCAAGGAATTTAAATTAAAAAAAAAAAAAAAATTTTAACAGCAAATGAAAAATTTATTTTGCGAATGTATCTTATTATATAAGAAATGATTAAAAAAAAAAAAAAAAAAAAAAAACAGAAAAGAAACAAAATGTTTCGTTAAAATGTTTTACACAAATTTACATTAGAAATTCTTTTCATCTTTGCCAATGATGTATCAATTTAATTGGCTTTGATCTTCTACATTCGTTTGAATTTTGATTTCAAGCGCCGCTTTAAAGTCAAAGAAACATATGAGAGATATAATTAGACGAATCGGTTAAACAAATTTAAATTCGCTAAAACGAGATTTTTAAAGAGAATAAAAAAAAAAAATTAATTTTTTCTATATTTTTCAAATACTTTACGTTTATAAATCCAATTTTTGAATTTTAATATACGAAAATAAATTATTTTAATTTTCTATAAACAAATAAATTTATTATTATAATTATTTATAGTTAATAAATAAATAAATTTAAGCATCCTATTTTAATTCATTTTGAATTTATTGTGGAAAAAAACTGATTTAATCAATATTTGTTTTCGCATTCATCAAAATAAAAAAAAAACCATTGTAAGTTTCCGTTTAATTTAAGATATGAAAAGACCTTTTTTTCTTTTTTGTTTATAAATATTCATGAAACATTCAAGAAAAAATTATTTAAAAATGAAAATAGATATAATAAGCGAATATTAAATTTATAAAAATAATCTCTTATTATTCGCAGTTAATTTGATTATATAAATCAATGATTTTTTTTTCTCACAAAACGATTTTTGTTAAAATAACAATAGAAGAAAAATAAGAAATGAAAAACATTCATGAATATACATTTTTAAAAAAGCGTTACGTGCATTAGAATTAATGATTCTGCTTCCGCTAATACATAATAAAGCAGTAGCAAACATTTAAATCATTTCAGTTTATTTACTCATCTGTGGAAATTATTTAATACTGTTAAAAAATAGAAAAACTATTGTTAAAATGAAATTAATTATTATTAGTTTAATTACACTTATTACATTGGGTAAGAAAATTAATTTTTTGTATTTTTTGTTTGTTAATTAATTATTTTTTATTTAATTTAATTAATTTGTTTATTATTTATTTATTTATTTATTAATAATTAATTATTTTTTAATATATTAATTTGTTTCTTAATTTCAGGTGGTTTAACCGCTCAAGGTGACTCGGAGGAAAGTCAAAGTCAAAATGGGCAAGGCATGACCAATGGAAGTTCATTTCAAGGTATAATACAATAGAAAAATAGATTTACTTGCTACGTAATATTTAAAAATTAATTATTTTGCATTTCTTTTTTTTTGCAGAATATTGTTAATCCGTTATTTAATTAGCTTCTTTCTATTCAGGTGGGCAATTTGGTCAAGGTAGGCCAGAAGAATTAATTAGTAGGTCCGAAATAACGTTTGATATACAGGAAGAAATTTGGATGCAAAATAGTTCAGATGGGCAAGGAATGTCCGGAGGACCAGGTGGGCAAAGTGGTCAAAGCGGAGAGTGGGGAGTGTCCGTAGGACCAGGTGGGCAAGATGGCCAAAGCAGAGAGTGGGGAGTGTCCGTAGGACTAGGTGGTCAAGGTGGACAAAGCGGAGAGTGGGGAGTGTCCGTAGGACCAGGTGGGCAAGATGGCCAAAGCAGAGAGTGGGGAGTGTCCGTAGGACTAGGTGGTCAAGGTGGCCAAAGCGGAGAGTGGGGAGTGTCCGTAGGACCAGGTGGGCAAGATGGCCAAAGAGGAGAGTGGGGAGTGTCCGTAGGACAAGGTGGACAAAGCGGAGAGTGGGGAGTGTCCGTAGGACAAGATGGCCAAAGCGGAGAGTGGGGAGTGTCCATAGGACCAGGTGGCCAAAGCGGAGAGTGGGGAGTGTCCGTAGGACAAGGTGGACAAGATGTCCAAAGCGGAGAGTGGGGAGTGTCCGTAGGACTAGATGGGCAAGGTAGTCAAAGCGGAGGATGGGGAATGTCCATCGGTCAAGGTTGGAAAGGTGATCAAAGCGGAGGGTGGGGAATATCCGGAGGGCAACGTGGTCAAAATGAAGGGTGGGGAATATCCAGAGGGCAAGGTGGTCAAAATGCAGGATGGGTAATACCTGGAGGACAAAATGGTTACAATAGAGTCGGTTGGTCAATGTTAGGAGGACTAGGTGGCCAAACAGGAGGTTATGGAATATTTAGAGGAAGAGGTGAGCAAAGTGGAGGGTGGGGAATATCTGCAGGACAAGGTGATCAAAGTGGAGACTTGGGAATGTCAGCTGGGCAAGGCGGAGGGTGGGGTATTTCTGGAGGACAAAGTGGAGGGTGGGGACTGTCTGCGGGACAAGGTATAGGGTGGGGATTGTCTGGAGGTATGGGAGGAGGACAAAATGGTCAAAACGGATGGTGGAGTATATTAAGAGGACCTGGTGGTCAAACTGTATCATAATTCAACTTTTCATTTGTCAATTTTGTGTATTATTGTAAATTATCCAAATAAGCTGGAAAATAAAAAATAAAATTGTAACTTTTGAATGATGTAATTATTATGTAAATTAATAAAACTATATTTAATATGGAACATAAAAATGTGTATTATTAGTTTTATTCAATTTTACCACTGACATAAATAAAAAGTTAATAAGCTATATCTATTCTGTTAATGTTGTACATTTAGTCTATAAAAGTATATTACGTGCACTGGAATTAATTTGAAATTCTTTACAAAATATCATATAACAATCATAAATCACTCAGTATATTTCAGTCTCTTTAATAACCAATTACTATAAGGATTGAGTATTTAAGAGGGAAATTTTTCTTTTTAGAATGAAATCAATTATTCTTGTCAGTCTAATAGTTATTACTACACTTGGTAAGATAGTTAATTTTTTAAAATTATTTTTAACTTTATAAAATGCATAGCTAATTGTTTTTATTGTTTTGGGAATTTTAAATGTTTCTTTTCTTTAAGTTGGATTATATACAGAAAGTGTACAAGGTAGACCAGGTGGGCATGGTAAAGGAAATTTTGATGTTGGCTATAATGGACAATTTGAAAAAGGTGGGCAAAATAACAATAACAATGGACATTCATGTCAACAATGTGGACAAAATTTTCCGAAACAACAAAAGGGGAATTATGATAGAAAACCACCAATGAAAAGTGGACAAAATCAAAATGGTTGTGGAAATGGAAGAGGCGATTGTGGTGGACAAGGTGTGCAAGGCGGATCAAATGGACAAGGCTGGTCAAATGGGCAAAATGGTCCATGTGGACATGGTGGATCAAATAATCAAAATGGAAATGGTTGTTCAAATTGTCAAAATAAAGGTAGGCCTGGTGGGTCAAATGGTCAAAATGGTTCAGGTGGACACGGCTGGTCTAATGGTCAAAATGGACCAGGAGGAAAAGGCTGGTCAAATGGTCAAAATGGACCAGGAGGAAAAGGATGGTCAAATGGTCCTGGTGGACCTGGCGGTTCAAATAATCAAAATGGAGGTGGCTGTACAAATTGTCAAAATGGTCCAGGTGGACAAGGTTGGTCAAATGATCAAAATGGATCAGGAGGAAAAGGCTGGTCAAATGGTTCAGGTGGACAGGGTTGGTCAAATAGTCAAAATGGATCAGGAGGAAAAGGCTGGTCAAATGGTCAAGGTGGACAAGGTTGGTCTAATGGTCAAAATGAATCAGGAGGAAAAGGCTGGTCAAATGGTCCAAATGGACCAGGAGGAAAAGGCTGGTCAAATGGTTCAGGTGGACATGACGGATCAAATAACCAAAATGGACCAGGTGGAAATGGCTGTTCAAATGGTCAAAATGGTCAAGGCGGATCTGGTGGGCAAAATGGTAACAATGGTCCAGATGGATTTTAAATCAAAAACTATTTTACAGAATTTGTAGTTATTTCTAAAAGTTTGTATCATTAAAAGCAACATTCTTAATTAAAAATAAAAATTTTCTCACAATAATAAACTAAATCTAACCTAGTAAATTGATTATTTCCTACCTTTTTGCCCTCCTATTTTTTCACAAAATCTGTAGAAAATCTGTTAGAACTTGAAAATAGCTTCTATATATAATAAATATTACTAAAATTTATCATTTTGAATAAGAATAAATTTGCAGTAAGTTTCCAATAGAAGTATTTGTAATTAAAAATTTATTTTAAATTTTCTTTAATTTTATGCTTTTGAATTTTTGATATATTCAACTTGAATAATAAAATTAACTGACGTACGAATACTAAATTCTTAATTATTATTTTAGTGAATAATAAAATGCGTAGAAAATTTAAAAAATAAAATACACAATTAAAGATGAATAAACAATAGCATTATTAGCTTTTAGTAGTATTGTACAACATTTTTAAATATGTAAAGAATGATTTTTATTGTACAAAAACGTACGTCAGAAAATAAAAGCAGCTTTATCTATTTTTTTGAAGATGCAGTAATGGTTCTAAATTGTTTTACGTGCGTGAGAATTAATTTGCCTTTCTTTAAAATTGTATAAAAAGCATGAAACACTTAACAGTTTCTTCACTACTGTCTAGAAATTTTTACTTGGCAGTCAAGGAGAAAAATAGCATTCAAAATGAAATTGATTTTCGTCAGCGTAATTGTTCTGCTTGCAGTTGGTAAGAATCCTAATTTTCTTTGTTTTTCATTTAAAGTTGCCAATTCAAAAATTAGTTGTTAATTAGCATCAACTGCATTTAAACTCTTTACCTAATTTTACCTAAGAACAAAGATTTTTGGGCTGTCAATAATTTTTTCATCTTTCAGATGGTTTAACCGCTCAAGGTGGTCCAGGTGGTGGATTCGGTGGTGGTATGGGTGGAGGACCAGGTGGTCAAAGTGGAGGAGGAGGTGGAATGTCTATGGGTATGGGAGGAGGAGGAGGACCAGGTGGTATGGGTGGAATGTCGATGGGAATGGGAGGAGGATCAGGTGGAATGGGTGGCCAAGGAATGTCGATGGGTATGGGAGGAGGATCAAGTGGTATGGGTGGCCAAGGAATGTCAATGGGTATGGGAGGACAAGGTGGTATGGGAGGAGGATCAAGTGGTATGGGTGGGCCAGGAATGTCGATGGGTATGGGAGGACAAGGTGGTATGGGAGGAGGTGGTATGGGAGGAGGATCAAGTGGTATGGGTGGATTCGGATTCGGAATGGGTGGACAAGGTGGTATGTCCAGTAGATCAAGTGGAGGATCCGGAGGACAAGGAGGATTTGGTTCGCAAAGTAGTTCTAGTGGGCAAGGTGGAGGATTTGGAATGCAAATGAGCTTAGGTGGTCGAGGTGGTATGTCCGGAGGATCAGGTGGCATGGGTGGAGGATTTGGTATGCAAAATACTTCAGGTGGGTCTGGCGGTATGTCCGGAGGACCTGGTGGTATGGGCGGTGGATTTGGAATGCAAGGAGGATTTGGAATGCGAAATAGTACAAGTAGTTAAGGCTTAACGTGAAGAGGACAATATTGTATCAACCTAGAAAATGATAAATTCACCACTTAAATCCAGCCCTATTAGAATTATAATAAATATATTTCATGTAATTGAATTTCTAAAACAGAATCTAATTTTGGATATTTACTGTCAGTTCTTCATCTCTTTGTGTTTTTAAATAAAGAAACAATTTTTAACCAAACACGTTTTTTCATTTATATTGTTGTCAATATTCCTCTAAAAAAAACTTTGAATAAAAAAATTCAATATTCAAAAATTGCGTTTTGATTTAGAAATAAATATTTTCTGCCTGTAATAAAAGATAGAAAAATTCAAAATTCACCTAAATTTCTTCTACTCACTGTGTAAATTTTTGATTAATATAAATGAATAAAGTATATAATAAAACAAAGATCTGCATTATTAATTCTAATCATAATCCTACAAAAAAAATTACCAGAATTCACTACTGGCGCGGTACTGGTACCAATATCGCGCCACTACTGGTAGTACTGGCGCTGTACTGCCCCAGTAGTTAATTTTTGATAGGGAATTTTTAATAAACAAATATTATTTATAAAAGAAATATATTTTAACTTTAAAAAAACCTTCTAAATGTTTCTATAAGAGAACTAAATTTTACTGAAATTCTAAGATGAACATAACATAAAAATATTATTATTTTAAAAGTATTTATTAATTAAGTCTGATTATAATTTTTTTAATGTTTTTCCTTTCCTGAAAAACATTTTTTTTTATCACAACTTTGGAAAAACGTGACTTTTTCGACAGCAAATTAGTTATTAATTTGAAAATTTCCATCTCAATAGGGAAGCAAAGTGTTCATGAAAAAGTTACACAGGAGTTAAAATATACACAAAAAGTACTACACCTTGTAGCAGCTATTTTATGCTTTTGAATTTTAAATAATCAACTTGAATATACTGAAATACAATTCCTTACATAATTGAACGAATGCAAAATTTTTAATTATTTTCAAATAGTGAGTTATGTAATGCTTAGAAAAAATTAATGAAGAAAATATACATTGAAACGTAGAGATAAATAATTGCCTTTCAATATTGTACTACTCAACAATAGATGTTTTCTATAAATGTAAAAACGTTTGTTACTAATCAAAAATGGATTTTGTAAAGAATGTAGTTTTATTTAAATTTTAAAATTTCTAAACTTTCAAAGATTTCTACGTGCATTAGAATTAATTTGAATTTTCTTTTTGTCAAAATGGTATAAAAAGCATGGAATATCCGATGGAAATCATTAGTTTCTTCAGTACACTGTCAATAAAGAGGCTTTATTTGAAATCAACGAGAGAAACAACATTCCAAAATGAAATTCGCTCTCATCTGTTTAATTGTTTTTGTAGCAGTTGGTAAGAAACTTAATAATTTCTATTAAAAAAATTAACAAATACCAAATTGAAAAATATTATTTTGGCATTAATTAAATTCAACTTTAATTTAATGAAAACGAACTAAAATTGCATTTGTAGTATGAAAGTAGAATTATTTATATTTTTATTTTTTAGGTGATTTAGCTGCTCAAGGTGGTCCATGGGGTCAAAGTAGTTCAGGTGGTTCATCGCAAGGAGGATTTGGAGGTGGTATGGGCGGAGGACAAGATGGTCAAAGTAGTGGATCAAATAGTTCCGGTGGTTCATCACAAGGAGGATTTGGAGGTTCAAGTGGTATGGGCGGAGGTCAAGGTGGACGAAGCAGTGGGTCAAATAGTTCAAGTGGTTCATCACAAGGAGGATTTGGAGGCTCAAGTGGGCAAGGAGGTATGGGCGGAGGACCAAGTGGTATGGGTGGAGGTCAAGGTGGGCAAAGCAGTGGATCAAATGGTTCAGGCAGTTCATCACAAGGAGGATTTGGAAGCTCAGGAGGACAAGGTGGACAAGGTGGTTGGTCAAGTAGTTCAAATGGTTCAAGTGGTTCATCACAAGGAGGATTTGGAGGCTCAGGTGGGCAAGAAGGTATGGGCGGAGGACCAGGTGGTCAAAATTGAGAAAGAGAATAAATCTAGTGGTCCATCTATAATACAAAAAAAAAAATGTACTTCATGCAGATTCGACATAGAAAATAAGAAATAAAAATTGTAATACTTTTGAAAAATGTATAATGCTTTTACAAAAATTATTAAAGAATAAACACAATAAAAGAATATAAATACCTCCATTTTTAATTCTACAAGGTAAAAAAAAAGAAATTCTTATTTTAAGATAAATTTAAAATTCAGTATACTGCTATTTAACATTTAACTCCTGTTAAGCGAATCCATGGCTTAAATTCAACAAAATGCTTAAAAATGTTGCTTTCTCAAAATCTCCCTGCCCTAAAATCTGACATTTTTGTAAAAATTTTTGAGAAATTACACTGAAAAAAGGGTTCGATTTTGATAATAAAAAAAAAATTGGTGTCTAAACAAAAATTTTTTCTGTTGCGTTAATAAAATTGTAGTTGTCTCAATAAAACTTTACAACCGAAAGACGAAGAAAAGGATTTTTGTTGGCTTCAAGGAAAATTTGATTGAGTTAAGCAAAATTTTGTTGATTCAACAGAAAAATTTTGGTTTAAATACCAACCAAATTTTTTTTTTCTGAAAACCAAAACATTTTTTCAGTGTAATTAATGGATAGGAATCATATAAGACAAAATTTTCTGAGAAAATTAACTTCAAATTATTTAATATACGAGCGACAGACTTTTAAAAGTGTATTTATACGTCTATTACAGAGAGCTAAAAATAGTACTTTGAACTTAATTAAACAGATCCAATTAGATTTTCAGTTCATCCAAAAAATAACATTGCTTATTTTTTAATTATAAATATGAGTAGTAAAATTTCCGTCTCATTGAAAGAATATTGAATTCGAAATTATAAAATTAAACCTACAGGAAAAAAAAAAGTTTCAGGATTTTAGTAGAATAAAAATGATTTAATTGAAATAATTAGAAATTTTGATATTCTAGTGAAACCTTTCAGGTAATATTATTTTTTTCAGTTTAAGTAAAAGAGAAATTACTTTACAGTAACGAAAATTTTTATTTTCCAGCAGTTGGATTAGCTACTGTAGATGGACAAAAAAGCAATGTGGCTTGTAAAAAAGGGAGTAAAAAAGGAGAGCAGTAATCTGCAATGAGTGTAGTTTTGATATTTTTAAAATTGCACCTATACAATGAATTTTACTAAAGAAATTTTCTTCGCCTTTATATATTTTAAAAAAAATAATAAACTAAAATCTCTAGAATCACAACATTGAGACAATTTATTTTTGTCATTTCCTTTGAAATGTTCCCTTTGACTAAAACGATGTTCCAGAAGAAGAAGAAGAAAGTTTCGCGATGTCTTTTTCAAAGGGTTAACGAAAACGGTAACGAGCTTTCGGTCTCAGAAAGTCTTCTGACGACCAAAAATAAAAAAAAAAAAAAAAGAAATCTCCCGGGAACCCCGTCGAGCGTGTCCAACGTCAGCCATAACTGACGCCATTGGCAATGCGGTGGCTTTTGTATAAACCGTAGAAAGTAGAGTAGCAAAAAAAACATTGATACCATCCCTCTTTTAAAACGCTTCTATATACCTAACTTCAAAATGAAAACTCGTTCCGAGATCGCGAGTCCCAAACCATAAATGCACTATTTTAATCCCGTTAGGTCGTCCATTCGAAAAATTGTTACCTAACCTTCGGACACTGTTTTTCAACAAAAATTATTTTTTTTTTTTCATTTTTCTTCAAAATTGGAGTTAATTAATTAATTGCTTCAAAACGAAAAAAAAATTAACCAAAATTTGAAAACCTAAAATTAAAGAAGAAGCGATTAAATTCAAGGTATGTATTTTTTTGGACAAAAGTGTTTTAAAAAAAATATTGTTCCAAAAATCAGATGCTGTATAACGAAAACAAAATTATAACAAATCTGTTAAATATTTCGAAAAGGATTAAAAAAGTTAGAAGATGAGAAAGTTTTACTTTTTCGGAGGAAAAAAAAAAACGTAGCGTTGCTAATCTGAGAGACATGGAGTCGCGTGTTTAAACCCTAAACATGATCCCGTTAGGTCAAGCATTCTAAACTAGATATAAACCATTGTTACTCGTTTCTTTTTACAATTTTCAAACGTTTCTCTATATTCACGAGAGAGAGAGAAACTCAATTCCTGGAAAAATGGCAAATCTATGCAATGAAAGAAAATGAAGGAGTGCAGGGAGAAAAAATCTCAAGCTTACCCTATGCATCTGCTTGGAAAGTAAACTGGTTCAACAATTTTTTTTTTTTTTTTTTCCAAACCTCTGACCATCTTTTACATTCTCTGAAACTGACATCCTTCCTTTAAATTCCAAGTGTCCCTCTTTTACATTCCAAGTGTTCTGTTTTACATTCTAATCAACTTCTTTTTTTTTTCCTCAAATTTCTTCTAAAATGAAATTTTTTATTCTGCGTTTCTTTTCTAAATAATTCTAGTAGTGAATTTTACTAATTCAAATTTTTGAAAAATATTTTTATAATCTATAATGTAAATTCACGAAAGCTACTGCAACAACTGAATTAAATTTCGATCAACAATTGTTATATAAACTTCGCATGTATTTTAATTTTGCTTTTCAATACTATAATTTATATCAAATGAAAGGTATTATTCTCCAAAGATTCAGAGCGTAACTGTCATATATATACACAAATAAAAAGTATAGAGTAAATTAAAATACATACATATACACTTGCGATAATAGGAATATAAAAATCTCGATTTCATTATATATCACATTAAGCTATTAATCGCAAAAACAGTTATCGATCTCGTTAAACGAACGATTTATTTCATTCTCGATATACATACAACTTGTATTACTGTATTCGATTTGAACTTCTATTTTAGGTCTACTATGACCCAGTTCTATATCGATTAAAAAAAAGAAAAAAAAAATTAGATTTCTTGCTCCTGATTGTGTTGGTATTTTTGATAAAGAATTTAATTTACCATAGAGTAAAGAAATTTTCGATTTAATGGTTTTGAAATGATTTATTTTTAAAGTATTACACGTTATAACGTTTTTTTTTTTTATAAATAATGGTAAAAAAAATTTTTTTAAGAAAATTGAAATTTTACTTTCACACGGAGAAAAAAAGTTAGCCATATTAGCTAAAATTTAGTTATTTTAGCTAACCCTATTTGTTATTATATAGACAGCAATTTTCGTTAGCTAATACAGCTAAAAATTAGCTACTATAGCTAAAATAGTTTGCTGTAACAGCTAAATATTAGTTACTGTAGCTAAATATTAGCTACTGTAGCTAAAAATTAGCTATCCATATAATAGCAAACTCATTTTTCTCCGTGCATCAATTTTATTGAAACTAAATACGTTCTAAATTTTAATTAGTGAGAATATGTTCACTAATTTAAATTAAAATTTTTAATACTTTAAATTAGTAAAAATTTCTGATAACTTTTAATTATTTTTCATCTTGTTTTTTACTAAAAATTTAGTAAAAAAAATATTACTAAATCAAATAGTAATACTTTACTACAAAAATAGTAAAAATTTATACTAATTTTTTATTTAAAATTTAAGTAAAAAAAATATTAGTAATTCAAATAGTAATAATTTACTAAAAATTGGTAGAAATTTCTATTAACTTTATCCGGTTCGCACTAAAACTTTAGTAAAAAAAAATTGTACTCTTTAAATCTGAATTAGTAGTTTTCTACTAATGAAATTCGTTTACCAATTGAATTAGTAACAGTTTTGACTAATTTTTAGTAAAAAAAACTACTAATTCCTAGTAAAAAATTACTAATTCATGGAGTGAATCGTATTTTTTACTATTTTAAATTAGTAAGCCGATTTACTCAATGAATTAGTAGTTTTCTACTACACTGAAAAAAAAATTTATTTGATTTAAATACCGGTGTATTTGGTTATTATCCAATAAATATTTACTTGAATCAAATATTTTTTATTTGAATGAAATAAATGGTATTTGCTTCAAATACTGAAATATTTAATTCAAATACTATATATTTGATTCAAATAAGAAATATTTGATTCAAGTAAATATTTATTTGATAATAACCAAATAAACCGGTATTTGAATAAAATAAATTTTTTTTTCAGTGTAGCAATTAGTAGTTTTTTTTTTACTAAAAATTAGTCAAAACTGTTACTAATTCAATTTGTAAACTAATTTTTAATCGATTTAGTAAAAAAAAAAGTTTTACAAATTAAAATATGTAGTAATATTTTTTTAAAAATAAATAAAAATTAATAATTTTTAGTCATTTTTAACTACAGCTTTAGTAAAAAAAAATATTACTAAATCAAATAGTAATACTTTACTAAAAATTAGTAAAAATTTATACTAATTTTCCCCTAAAAATTTAGGTTATAAAATTATTAGTAATTCAAAAAGTAATAATTTACTAAAAATTAGTAAAAATTTCTACTAATTTCTTTACCAAAACTTTAGTAAAAAAAAAAATTACTAAAGCAAATAGTAAAGCAAATAATAATAATTTGCTAAAAATTACTAAAAATTTCTATCAATTTTTTAGCAAAAATTTAGTAAAAAGATGCTTTTTACTAGTAGAAATTTATCATTTTTGGCTATTTTTAACTGAAGTTTCTGTAAACAAAAATATTACTAAATCAAAAATAGTAAAACCTAACTAAAAATTAGTAAAAATTCATACTAAGTTTTAGCTAAAAATTTAGTAAAAATATATTAGTAATTCAAATAGTAATAATTTACTAAAAATTAGTGAAAATTTCTACTAATTAGTCAGTTTTAATCAAAAAATTTTTGATAAAAAAAATATTACTACAAAAAATAGTAATTTTTTACGAAAAATTAGTAAAAATTTTAGTCAACTAATTCTGACTGATTCAAATTTTAGTGATTAGACTATACAAGATCAGTTTCATTCAAAGTGGAGGTTTCAAACTCAAACAAGTCACGTGCTAACTTATGAATCACCTATGCTCCCATTTTGTGATTTTACGACTCTAATCTCAGTAACCTAGTAACCCCCAAGTAAATGCCTGTTTTAGTAAATTCTTGTCTGAAATGTAACATATATATATTTTGACTAAGGAAAAAAAAGTCTCACTCTCTCTCTCTCACTGTGTGAAGACAAACAAAATACTAAACTTTTATTTCAATTTTACGATC